ACACACACACACATACACACATACGCCTGCAAATGGGCCTCGCTATAAAGCTTTTTTGCAGCAGATTTACAGAAACGCAAAAAAATAAAAAGTAAAAGGCCAAGAAATTACTCTCTGGTGTGACTCCGAGTAATTCCACCTCTAAGTCCAACATATTTGGAAAATTCCATAAAACTAACACTAAGAAGAGTTTTTCTTATAGTCAAAACTGTTGTGGCAACTTGCCAAAAAAGAGCTAATGAACAGAATGAGCTTCATGCCCAACTAAGCAGATGTGGTACGCCTAGTGTTTAATTCAAGACTGACCAGAAAAAAAAAACAGGGAAATGAACGTTAGGAAACCTGTCAACAAAGCAGTTTGACCATTAGGTCCATCTCGCTGCTCGAGAAAATACTGTCGCTGCACTGCTGGGACACAAAAATGCAGTAGCAGCTAACGACATATCAAAGTAAGCAGCAAAAATCGATAATTTCCCCAAAAAACAAAATTTACTTTTCACAAAATATCGGTAATTTCGAGAATTTCCTCAAAAACCAAAATTAACTTTTCAAAATAATGAAAACCGAAATCAGCGAAGATGCAGGGAAATTTACCAATCTTTTGGGCAAAGCGCATATTCGAACAAAGTTTTTCATAAATTTCACATACAGCAGCAACATCCAATATTCATGGGGAATAAAAAAACGGCTATTTAATTAGAAGTCGCAAAAATTCAGCTAATCAAATTAGAAGTTAATCAAGTAAAAAACCGGAAATCTGAATCATTGAACCGAAAAGTATCACGAAAAAAAAAACGAAAATTTCGCAGAAAGGGCAAAAAACAGCCCAAAAAAAGTGTTAAAAGCTGTATGTAATTGTTCAAATCCTTTTCGCTAAGGGACTCAAAATAATACATCATATTTATAGAAACGGTTCGCAAAAATTACTATTTGAAACATAAAAAAGGAGGGAGAAGGGGAAAACTTGCAAAAAAAAAGATTTCTAAAGGAAAAAAAAACGCCAATAACGTGCAAATATTACCGCTGGTATGTAATACAGTGCTTGAACCTAAAAAGGCGAAAAAAAGTTTTTTTTTTTAAGAATAACAAGTTGATGCTGGCCAATTCGGTGAAGCCTGCCATCATTACTGCGATGCCATGTAGATTCGCAGCGATCGATCCATGCCAACAGATAACAAACTGTGCGCGTTTCGGCCAAATCTTACCGATGTAACGGCATCCTTATGGTCTGTCAAAGTAGCAAGCACGCTCCATGGCTTCACATGAATCACCTGGACATCTGCACCAGCAACAGCCAAATAGGTGCCCGACTGATCGAAGCAAATTCCAGAGAGCTACAAAAAATAAATACGTTAAATCGAAGCAGCAAAAATTCAAAAAAAAAGCTATATATTTAAAAGAAACAAAAAAAAATTGGCACCACTTTTGCTGAGCGGGCCAGCATATTTGAATTAGCGGATGCTATGAAGTAAGTTGACGCATGATGTGGCAATTGTGCGAACACACAGACACACACACACACACACACACGCAGCCTCTTCCTCTTCCCCATATATGCAAAAATGCATAAAAATCGGTACAGACGAACACACAGATATACACGCAGACAACCTCTCAACAATATGAGTTTTTGCATTGCATATTTGCAAAAAACGCATATTGTAACGAACACTCCAGAGTGCGTGTGTGTATATGTGTGTGTGTGTGTGTGTGTGTGTGTGCATTTATTTCTCTCCTACCAAATGATGTAAAAAATTCCTAGTATCCTGACACGGATGTCACTTATAAAAACAGCAAGAATATTGGGCGCTTATGGGTATACAGAACAGAGGTTCAAATCCAACTCGCCAACAGGAAAAATAAATAGCAACGCGCACCAGATAGCCGGTGCGATCATGCGTTTTGTGCAATTCAGCCCATCGAGCGATTGCCTGTTAATGATTTTCA